TCGGCTTTCCATCGACACGCAATCAGCGGGACGCTCGCCGGCGTGGTCGTAGGGAACGCCCCACCGTCCGGTGAGCGCTCCACTGTACTTTCCTAATCAAAATGCTTAGCGTGTGCAAACGTGACTTGAGGGGAGGCAGGGAGGCTATAAGCTAGAGCTGAAGCTCTAGCTTATAGCCTCCCTGCCTAAAATCGCGACAAAGGGGTCTTATGTCGCATGAAGGTAGAGGGGATAGGGTCGTAAATGCAGGTGTCACTACTGAGTGAAGCTGTGGCAAAACTATTGAAGCTGCCTCGCGCTTGGCGGTTTGCATTCCTTTTTCTGCTTTTTTCTGCTTTTTTCTTCACTATCGAGTTACCATGATGCAAACCGTGATCAATATCTGTGATGACGAATGATCGCGACCTTTGCCTTCAATAATGAATTGCAGTCGAATCGACCCGTCGACAAAGCAGAAGTGGCTAGTGGTGCGGCCAGATCTTCTTCGATTTCAGCGAGAGGACCTACTGAAGAGGCATCGTTCCATGGCAAAGAAGACCTAGCGTAACGAGCTGACCTAAAAAATTTTCGCAGCACGTTGGTTGTCCAAAATGTTCCGTGCATGGTCGCAGAGTGTTGCGGAGAGGTGTTAGTTTTTCTTTGGGAAAAAAGTGAGAAGAGCTTCTGTGAAGAATGACAGCCGGGATGAGTGTGGTTGGGACCACGAGTCTCCCTAGCAGAGGGACTAACGGAAACGTCCTGAATCTACAAGACCAGCTGAGGTCCGCTTTCACTCTCGAGCAGCTGAGGTTATGGCGACCATAGGATAGGGAATGTGGAAGATGTTCGTGCTTCGCTTGGAACTAGCAAATGCAACTGGACACGGATGAGGGATTTTCTATGGAGTAGGCTTGGCAATGCTTACTCTTGTCTTGACGAAAAACCTGATACTATGCCCATGAAAAACAGAAATAATGACGAATGCATATGAATGCACATTTCATGTGGCATCTCGAGTTTTACGAGCATTTTTTAGGAAGCGCTGACACTTGGCCTCACGGTGACAGAGTTGCTACGCAGCATCACTACCTGTCGCCCATTGTTCAGAAACGAATGTGTACTGTCGAGAGAAGCATGCTATAGGGGACGGTTTGTTTATCAGTTCACATCCCTTGCTTTGGATAAATTGTCATGGGGGGCACGACCATTCATAGCTGGTAGCGCTCTTTGATAGCTTGTTAATGGTGATGCTTTATAGGCGATGCTTATGTGTATCGACATTTCCAGAACGTTCACGATGTGTTTGGAGTAGAGGTGTTATTCCAAGCTGGAGTTCAGGTCTCAGTAGTCTACTGATGCCACTTTCCTACTAAAATTTCTAAAGTTCACGTAGAGCAGTCTTTTCAGTGACGAATTTCCTCGTTTTCAGAATATTAGAGAAAATGCGCTGGTCATGCTTATAGCGCAGTCTCTCTACGAACCAGGATTCACGCAACTGAGGACTGTTGAACAACTTGGTAAACGTTTTCAACCCCAGTTACTTTCTTTTTTGCATTTTCTCAGTTTACATAGTTATAAGACGAGATTCGCTCTACTTACCCTTTGCTGCACCCAGCCCCCCCCCTCACCTCAATTCTCTAAACTAAGTTCAGCTTTTTTACCAGCTTCTTCTCCGAGAAGAGATGTGGGTGGAACATTCCCCTTTGAATGGAAACAGCACTTTACAGTGAGAACGTCCAGTACAAAAATTTTCCTGGCTTTCCAGGAATCATTTAGCGTCTCATCCTCTACTACAGCTGCACCAAATAGGCAGCTCAACAGAGTAGATGACTCAGGGGATCAGGGGTGTTGAATGATAGCCCTCGCCGTTTAGCAACCCTTTTTCGGTGTGCGGCACGCGTTCTACTTTTATCCAGGATCGTAGTAGTCTATAAAATGAATTGCGAGAGCCAGTCGATGTTCAAGTTAGTGTTCCTATCCTCTCGGACGAGTTTCTTGCCTGTTTACCGTTCCCGGAGGGTAGAAAACTTGGTTTACCTTGGCTGAAGTGGACACTGGATTGATTCCCAGCCTCGCGCGAATGATGAGCGAGCCACTTGCCACTGCACCTAGTGGATCAGAGGTAGGGAGTGCAATTGTTGTAGCCGGTTGATCCAAACCTTCATCAGTTCTTTTGACATTGTCACTCAGATTATGAAGAAAACAGCCTTTTAGTTATGCTTTGATGCAAATACAATAGCACTTTCCTATTCTGCTTTATCTACTTGAACAATACTTCATTGTTTAGGGTACATAGTTTCGATCGACCCAAGGTTCAATGCAGGGACAATAGCTCTAGAGTTCGTTATTCAAGGTCCTGGAAGCGCCGATCACGCTCTTGGGAGGATAGAGGCGTTCCTCGAGAAAATAGGGGTGAGTGTTACTATCATCGATAGTTTTTATTGTTGAAAGTCTGAAATTGCTTGTATGAATATGTAACAGGTGGGGCTTCAGAACTCTAGCGTACCAGGGAAGTTCTCGGGCCACATGAGCATGGAGTTTGCTTTGACGCGGATATGTGTCAGCAGGTCCGCGTTGCGGCGACGAGCACTAAGTCTGTAGTTATCACTTTCTAGGCAGTTAAATCGGCTCATTATGGTATTTGCATGTTGACAAACTTGAGTTCAGACGTGTCTATGTATATACTCCCATCCCCGCTCTTTGTAGGTCGCGGATCCCAAGCAAGGGGGTCGGATTTGGTTGTTGGAGAGGTAGGAGTTAGCCTTACAATCCTCTGGGTAAATGTTTTTGGGCACTGACTTTCCCCAACTTTCCCTGTTTCATCTGCGCCATCTACCCCTCTCCCTTACAGACAGGACACGCCATTGCGTTGTGATCATTTCCCGCTAATCTCGACTTATGGTCTCAGTACGACCCCCTCCCTGTCACGAGGGTACAAATGAAAAGAAGCGCAAAAGGGACGAAGAAAATGACAATAAAGAGAACTGGGCGCTATTGAACTATTCCTACGCTGAGAACTCAAAAAAATCCATGCTGAAACTTTGTCTGTAGATGTTATTCGATGTTCTGAAGAGTGTGACATCATTTCTCCATACCAATGCTATTTGGTGCTCTACTGAGGCTGAAACTGAGAAAAAGAAAGATTTCTCCTCAGGTCAGGCTCAGTCTTAGCAAAGCGCAGATGACCATAGTGTCCTACGTTAGCGCTGGCGCCAAGAATAAATATCATATTCGTAATCAGGATGTCAAATAACCCCCGTATACAAGTTTTCATCGATTTTGGTGATTCAGGGTATTTTGGCCCCGGCGCCTGTGCGGCGCCAAAATACCCTAAATCACCAAAATCGATGAAAAGTTTTGGGCAAAGCGGGTGTGATATTCGTGTTCAGGAGGTCGAAGTACCACTGTAACAAATTTCCATCCAAATCTGCCCCTCTAGAAAAAAATCGATAAAAAATTGGCCTGATTTCGGCAGACTGGGGTAGGAGTAGTTCGATAATGCCAAATACTACAACAATACAACCTAAAAACTACTAGAAAACAAAAAAGAGATCTAAAATACCAAACAAACGACAAAAAACTCACCAGAAGTACTAGGAACTATGCATTAGTTGTTCGCGGTCAGCCGCACGTGAGCAGTGCAATTCCCACGCTAATACAAGCTCATTGGTGCGCGCTATTTTACGACCTGGAGCCAATTTCAAGCCAAACACTCGAAAAGTACCCCTCTTTTGAACACCCATAACTTCGTTGAAAGTAAAGCTCTCGGAGAGGGGAAAGTGGGAATGAGTGGAGCTAGGTTGGCTCTTGTTACCTGAGTTTGAGCGATTTCAAAACATTTTCTTTTCTAGAAATTTTCTCCGTTGTGACCCTTGCGTGATCATGGGGGGCCAACCACAAGTCGCTACGCTTTGGACATCCATGGCAAGCTTCATACACGGCCTTTCGAGAAAAAGAGAACTGTGCCGAAGCATGAAGATTTCTACTTTCCAGCAAGACTTCATTTTATCCCTAGGCTTGCTATTCGAAACCCTTCCCCCCCCCTTGTGATCATAAAAAATCATTCCCCCTTGGTCGTCAACCCCTACGACGCCCTATAACTTCTATTTGGCTTCAAGACATGGTATGCTTCTAAAACGCATGTTTTGCCAAGATACCAGGAAATAGTTCATTGGACGCCAATTGGCATCACCTCTGCATTGCGCCATGCATAGCGCTTTCACGCAGAGCTATTGGGAAGGTGCAACTTCTAGAAAGGGCTTCCTTCGTGCAGGTAGATGTGCTTGCACGGTCAGAAAGGCTCGGAAGTGTATTTTCATCTGTTCACTAGTTCATGGCGGATATTCATTGGCGCGGAGGTGGTGTAGTGACAAGTGGCGCGCTTACCACTCGCGCGATGCCGGGTTCAAATCCCGGGTCGACTTTCGCCTAGGCCAACCAAGCCTTCTACCCTCCGGGGACGGTAAGATGGTACCAGATTCGCCTGGGAGGATAAAACACTGACTTGTACATCGGCTGGCCACCGCAAGTCATTGTATAGGCCACATCGCATTCAATAAGCCACTACGATTCTGAATGGAAGTAGAATGCGTGCCGCATCCCACAAAGGGGTTGATCAACGGCGGAGACTTTATCCTTTATCTTTTTTATTAATTCATGACGTCGTTGTGGGAGGCCATCGTATTTCCTGTCATTTCCCCACTTCTGCGCTGGCAGGTTGCTTCTGTCTTGTGTGGGTCTCTTCAGAGGTCCTTCACATGGATAAGTCTTTCATCATTGAAGCTGAACGACGTATCGCTGCACCCTCACTTCAGAAAGGTCCCCGCGCTTACGACCCCCTCCCTCCCTCACGAGGTCAACTACGATCCCCTGTTGTGATGATCACAACGATGGCGTGACCTGCTTACAGAGCGCGATGGAGAAGACACCCATCAAAGAAGAATTCTGCAAGGGATCGTTTGATGCGGGAAATTTCTTCCCAGCAGCAGGAAGGTGCCTCTATTTTCAACACCTTAAAGCCAGCGTCTGACTGCAGAAGATGAGCTGTTTCCCCCTCCCTACCTTCCAGAGCAGGATGGAGAAGGATAAAAGATAAGAATTATTGGAAGCGCGCACATTCCATTTCCTTAGCAGGCATTTGTCTCCATCCCCAATAGAACTGAACTTAATTCCAGTCGGAAGGTGAGCACATTCGTCAAGGGTAAAGCGATTTTTGAGTTAAAGACAGCCCCCGCGCTCAAGTAGTACATGGTCGTCCTTCCTTGTGCAAGTAGTACAGCCCCCAAGCTAGAGACTGTCCCACTCTCGCAACTCCACAGCGAGCGATTAGCGAGCTACAGCCGCTGAAAGTTCTAGTTCTAACGCCCGCTCAGTTGGACCGCCACTTGCTAGATGCCCTCCGACGGAGGGCCGCTCAGTTGTTCTTTGTTGGGGCGGCGGGCATTAATCGGAACTGCATGTATTTTTTGCTGACTCGTGCTCGTAAATAATTCTGCTCTCCTTCATCACATTTTATTCATTGGGAGCACGTACAGTCAACAGCAACCCATCTCGTAAGGTAAAACGCGTAAAAATCACGAATGATGCAATTTCTGTGGTGCAAAAGCTCGACGCACTTCACTACACTAAAATGTGCGCTACCGTAACCCCAAATTCGGACATCGAGTTTTTGAAATTTCTTTTTCCTTCCAAGAGTTTTTCCTCTGCGTTTTTGTTGGATTTGTTCAATAGTGCCGAGATTTGTGAGCTAGGGGTTGCACAGAGACCGCAGGGAGGTGTGGCTGTGAGGGAGCGATTTTGTTTTGTTTATTTTGTGGTGTTCTTGAGGACTCTTCTTGCTTGTTTTCTTCTTTGGGGGATTACTTACCAGCTACTGTTTCATAATTGAAGAGCAACTATCCATGACGCTTTCATCGCGAAACTGTCTTTAAGTTCAATGCCTCTAACGGCCTTCGAGTCATTGCGTAAAACGACTTCGGAACTGAATAATTGCCCTAGTACGCTGAAAATGCTTGTTGGGCACAGCGCGCAGCACTTGCTGTGATACGCTAATCCTGCGCTCAATTGTTACACAGACAGGCGAAGCGTTAAAGTGAAGACATACATGACCTGCACGTCAGGGTAATCATGTACCCTTACTAGGCAGAAATTGCGACGATGGCGGATGAAGAGCTCGAGAAGCAGAAAGCCGGCTTGATAGCGCAACTGTTGGAAAAACCGGAAACCCTGAAAGCGCGTTCTGATGAATTCTGGAACCAAATCCAGCACAGACAATACGATTTTGATTGGTGTGAGTTTTTCTCTCGTAATAGCTATCATCTTTGGCTGTCAACAAATACACTTTCTCTGCTTATTTCTTCAGGGCATGTAGGCATCGCTATAAGTCTGCAATTTCCTCGTACTCCCAGGACCGATCCCGTCTGAGAAAACCTTCACTTTTCAGGGAATGCTCAGGTGGAAGCAGTGAAGTCAGTAACGAAGGATGACTTCATCAAGTATTTCGAGCTGAAGTTTAGAGCGAATGCACCGCAGCGCCGGAAGGTGAGCACGTTCCCCAACTTCATTTTTCAGATAATACCAGCCTATCAAGAATTTTCAGTGTAGTGAATTCTACAGAAGTGGGGTGCTTGAAGTGGAAGGGGAGCAAGTGAGTCGTGAATTGCCGCTTCGTCGCGCGCGGCAGCGGTACGACGTTTCCTTAATTTGCACTACCCTTTCGATTGGAGCATCGGATTTCATGTAGACAAAGACGTTGTGGACCCTTATTTCTATTTTTGGTCATGCCTTGTCTGTTTCGACCAAGACTCAAACCGTCGGCATTAGCGAGGGCCACCTCGCACGCGACGCCCTCTGGCGCAGCGAGTAGCGATCTATCGACACCCGTCTCAAGGCATGTTCCACACCAGTCGGACGGGCGGACCCTGACCTACCAACAGAACGCACGCATCCACATCTCTGTGCCTCAGCTTAATGCCTCTGAAGCCATCACCACTGCGATTCGGCTCTATGGGCCTAGGTGGCAGCAGAATATGCACAGTGGAAGAGCAGACCTTGGACTTCTTTTAATCGGAGCATAATAGCTTTGGAAGTTCACTGAACGTAAATACTTCATGGGCGCACTCATGCTTCCGTTGATTCCTGACGACTAGTTTATCTTAGATCATACTTGATCACCCAACAGTGTATTACTTATTCTACCGACGAGTTCCTCATCAATTTTTGTCATTTGCTAGCTTCCGCAGTGCTTCCGCCCACCCCCCCCCCCTCCCTTTCCAAAGAAAACGTTGTAGCGAAGAAGACTGTAAACCGTGGCCAGTCATCAAAAAGGTGACGGATTCAAGCAACGAACTTTGTTACAAAGAAAAGTGCTTTAAGATGGCTATACTGATTCACAGCAGAGACGATAAACGTGACGGAACTGCAAAGAAGACAGGAGCCGACAACCAGGAAAAACTAGTGAGTGGATCTCGCTGTTCCTATGTAGCCGACATCTATTTCAAATGTCTTGAACCTATTCGTGATCATTCCTTAGAGGTGCTAGAAGTTGAATAACGAGTTTTTTCCATTTATAAATCTCGGGGGTGAAAAATGTGGGGGTATTGAAGTTTACCTCCAAGCTCGATTTTTTTGTATATAGGCGCAGGCAAATGCTTGACGCCAACCATCGAGGTACATCACGTAAATAAATTACATTCTGTTGGAATAGCGGGGCGGGTGTCCGTCCAGTTGGTTGAACTGGTTGAACTTCGGGGTCGGATCCCAAGCCCCGTACGGTCCCACGTACTCCGCGGTTTCGTGAGTAGCCATGGCTGACTGGATAGTTTACATAACAGTCACCCTTCGTAGTTAACATTTTATCAAACCCCATATTTTCAAATGACTGAATGGCATTATGCCAAACACAGGAATCAACTGTGCTAGAATCCACGATACTAGATTCTAGACTCAGCCATGCAAGCAAGGAATAAAGGTGTTTCAAACATTAATATCCTGCCATCTAGGATGTTGAACCACTCTTTTACACTGAAGGCGTCCAACCATCCTCTACCTTTTGTCAAACCAAAAGGGAACGACCATAGCGCTGATACACCCCTAGGCCAATGCGCATCTGTAGCCGTAACACGCAGTATTGCACCTCCACTTTCCACACTTGAAAATGCGCACTTCACCAAGTGAAGAGAATGAAACCCGCATTGTAGCGACACTCCCCTTGAGCCACGGGGTGCCCTCTACTATGCACAGTCTACCACCAAGTCGTTCTCGACGACTTTAGGATTTTCCCTTCCGTTCAGCGGTGAGACCAATCTCCTACCGTAAGCTCGGCTAAACTTTAGATTGACGTCTGCTCGATCAACCGACGGATCGACAACAGATGGGGGCGTAGACAAATTTTATTTTCTCCTGAGATAACCACAAATACCTGTAGAGAAATCCAGGGATATTGCCAGGTGCATCCATCCTTACGACCTGTCCTTAGGTTTCTACATCACTGTCACGGCCGCATTCCAATCCGAGATGTTATTCGTAAGATTTCCGAGCGTAAAACATTGGAAACTGAGTGCAGTCACCCATGTACAACAATTCTGACCCGTCGTGTGATATGAGTACCGACTTGATCTCCGTAATGACTTGCCGGGATCAGTTTATATTAAAGCTGGTCAACGCCCTGCTGAAAAAAAACAAAAAAATGAAAGCACCAGTATAGCCACATTCTTTTATT